TGCCGTGGACTACTCGTTTGAACAAATCATAAACATATGCTAATCCTTCTTATGCTCCGTAAATTCTAGGAAGTGGTGGTAATTTTAATTTTAAAATTTATATTTTATGTTTTATATTTTTCACATCGGGCATCTTGGTTTAACTATATTTTATTTATCTGGCGCATCATTTTCTTTTGAATAAAGTTTACAACATCGGCTACTGCCTTAAAAAATCATGTATCAAAAATTTTATTTTTTCTATGTCTGTTATCGCTTTTTCTCAGCTTTCACGGGACCGATTTCTTTCAACGATATGTCAAAAGATTACAAATTGTCTCTAGTCGAAGAAATTACCCTCAAAAAATGAAAGAATTTCCCTCGTTCCCGGTAAATGGGGGATAACTTCAAAAAAATTACAAAATAAAAATTGCTAATTTTCGACATTTTTTCATTTTTTTAGCTTTGATGCGAAGCTGAGAAGGTATTGGTTTTACTAAGATGTGTTTTTTTTTTTTTTGTGTCTGTTACCACTTTTTCTCAGCTCTCACCGAACCTATTTCTTTCAATGATACGTCAAAAGATCACAAATCGTATCTAGTCGAAGACATTACCCTTAAAAATTGAAAAAAATTCCCTCGTTCCCCGTAAATGGGGGAAACCTCCAAAAAAATTACAAATTTAAAAATCGCTAATTTTCGAAATTTTTTCAATTTTTTTTACTTAAAAGTGCCATAACTTTTTCAAAAATAAACATATCAATATAATTCTTTTTTATATAGATGCATAATATCATTACCTTTCATTTGGTATATTTTTTTCATAAATTTAACCCTTAACCTGCCCACAAGGGGGGATTTAAAATGACAACTTTTTCACAAAAAATTAATTTTTTTAACTTAAATTTTGAAAATGTTCCGGAAGGTCTGACACTTTTATATATATCTTAAATTAAAGCTAATGTAATATGCTTTATCATGAAAAAAAAAAATTTCGGACTTTATCTTATCTTCATGGTGAAAATGGCTACCGAATGCTATTTTTGTGTGAAAATTTTCGATTTTGTATTTTCCATTTTTAACTTTATTATGCTATAACTTTTTGAAAAATGTATGAATCATTACAATTTTTTTATGAGAAGTAGTATTTATATAGATCTTTCATTCGACATACTGTTTTTTTAAATCGGACCATTTCCCTAAATACAGGGGGGATTCAAAACATAAAAATGCATATAGAAAGTAGAACTTTTTCAACGTAACTTTTGAAAGTGTTCCGGAAGGTCTGACACTTTTATATATATCTTAAATTAAAGCTAATGTAATATACTTTATAATGGTAAAAAAAAATTTCGGACTTTATTTTATCTTCATGGTGAAAACAGACATTAAACTTAATAAAAAAAATACGATTTTTGTAAAAAAATTCTTTTTTATATTTTTAACTTTATAATGCTATAACTTCTCGAAAGATGTATGGATCAATATAATTCTTTTTTTTGTAGATGCATGATGTCTTTACCTATCATTTGGTATATTTTTTTTATAAATCTGACTTTTTACCTGCCTACAGGGGGGGATTCAAAATGACAACTTTTTTAAAAAAAATTAATTTTTTCAACTTAACTTTTGAAAGTGTTCCGGAAGGTCTGACACTTTTATATATATCTTAAATTAAAGCTAACGTAATATATTTTATAATAGTAAAAATAAATTTCGGACTTTATTTTATCTTCATGGTGAAAACAGACATTAAACTTAATAAAAAAAATACGATTTTTGTAAAAAAATTCTTTTTTATATTTTTAACTTTATAATGCTATAACTTCTCGAAAGATGTATGGATCAATATAATTCTTTTTTTTGTAGATGCATGATGTCTTTACCTATCATTTGGTATATTTTTTTTATAAATCTGACTTTTTACCTGCCTACAGGGGGGGATTCAAAATGACAACTTTTTCACAAAAAATTGACTTTTTCAACTTAAATTTTGAAAGTGTTCCGGAAAGTCTGACACTTTTATATATATCTTAAATTAAAGCTAATGTAATATACTTTATCATGGAAAAAAAAAATTTCGGACTTTATTTTATCTTCAAGGTGAAAATGGCTACCAAATGCTATTATTGTGTGAAAATTCTCAATTTTATTTTTTACATTTTTAACATTATAATGCTATAACTTATTGAAAAGTGTATTGATCAATATAATTTTTTTATGGGAAATACTATTTTCTAATAATCTCTTTTTTATTCGACATACTTTGTCTTAATCAGGATATTAATAAGGAACTAGCAGTTTATGAAGCTTTTGGAATAATCCACCAATTTTTTAAAATTAAACACTATCTAAAGATTTGCATCGAAGCGTTTTTTTTTGATAGTGATTTTAATCACTGTCAGATATCATTATACTTGATCCAACTATGCCACGTCACCACTGTGCCGCGACCCCCCTGTGCTGGGTTTTTTTTACTTAAAACTGCTAAAACTTTTTTAAAAATGTCCAAATTAATATAATTTTTATTTAGTAATGAGATTATTTTGTATATTTTTTTTAAAATCTCATCCTTTACTTGGACACAGTGGGGGATTCAGAATGACAACTATTTCACAAAAAATAAACTTTTTCAATATAATTTTTGAAAGTATTGCGGATATACTAACACTCCTATATATATCTTAAATTAAAGCTTATGTAATATAATTTATTATGGAAAAAAAAAATTCGAACTTTAATTTTTCGTGGTGAAAATGGCTACCGTATGCTATTTTTGTGTTAAAATTTTCGATTTCATATTTTATTTTAAAATACAAAGTTTTCGAGTAAGAAAAAAAATTTCAACTGATTTGATTTTTATTTCATTTATATTTAATAACTTTAATGAATATCAAGGACCCTTCACTGTAGTCTTTCCTCGTTTAATGAAATTTATTACTTATTTTAAAGTTCNCCTTCACTGTAGTCTTTCCTCGTTTAATGAAATTTATTACTCATTTTAAAGTTTTTTTACTATGTGATTTTTTTTATGGTTCTTATTTATCTTCTCAGCTCTTACTTGACCAACTTTTTTTAATAAATCATTCATTTTTAATGTTTTTTAAATATTTATTGCCGAATTAGGTTTATTATGATAATAGGTTTCAACTAGAAAATTAAATAATTTTACCTTGTAATATATTACTTTTTAAATTTTATTTGTGTGTGTTACTAACAGTCTATAATATTCCAAAATTTTTGGCAATATGTTGCTATATAAATCATAAATCTAAAGAGAAATGATTTTTAGTTTAACCTGAATTTAACAAATAATATTTACAATTATAATAAAATTTTATAATATACTCAATTAAGTAGATTTTTTTAGTTAAAGTAAATCATTAAAATTAATTCAGTTTTGAATATTTCAATTGTAGAATATATTTAAACATCAAAAATTACTTATAAATGATTACTATGATTTCTATTTCAGTTATCTATTACGATAAAAATGCAAAAAAATATTCAGCTTTTCTGATAAATTTACAAAAAATAGTAATTATACAATTTCCTGACTGCATATTAAACTGTAAACTTGAAGTTGATTTAAAAGTTATGGTAACATATTAAACTTTATTTTATTATAAATTTCAAAAAATCAACTTTAAATATAGGTTAAAAATGATATTTTGTACTGTTTATTTTTAAAATATTAAAAATCAAAATCTGTAATAATTTAAAAACAATTATTTTGTGTTTTTAATTATTTTTTATCGAAATAAATCATTTCAAAAGAAATATTAATAATTTCTATGTAATTCTTGGTGTTTAAATTGATGATACAATTGAAACATTAAGAACTATTTTCCTTATAGTTATATCCTATAGTTTTAAATATAACAAAATTATTTGTGATAGAAAAAATATAATTGCTTATTAGAAATTAGCACGAAAAATTGAATAATAAATATATATTTTTGACTCTAATGAAAATTTTTTGCATATCATTTATTCATAATTAACAATAAATTATTATCTATAAAGTTCTATGTTAAGCCCTTCAATTTTTATAGACGTTTCCCATAAAATTAATAAATACTTTATAATTTTTTATAAATTCTCCTAAAAAATTACAATACTAAATTATTAAATATAAATTTTATAATACGTTAAATTGCTTTAATAGATATTTATTTATAAATTATACTTATAAATAAACTACTAATTAGGAATAATGACAGAAATAGGAGTTAATTTTGCTTTTGAAATAATCTACCGATTTCTTAAAATTAAATTTTATGTATATACTTACAACGAAGAGTTGCTTTGGATAGCGATTTTAATTACTGTCAGATATTATCTATACTTGTTCCAACTATGCCGCACCACACTGTGCTGCGACCCCACGGTGCTGGGTTGGTTTTTTTTATATTGTTTTAACTAATAATATTTCCGATTAATTTCTATAATCGATATCGATATTTTTAAAACTGATTTTGAAATTTTCAAAATGGAATTATTAGAATATGTCTATCTATATTCAAAATATAATCAGCAAGACTGTGGCGGCCCAGCATTTCTTAGCGTTAAGCCATAGCTGATGCTATGGCTCATCCTCGTTAATTTACATTAAATGTTATTTCAATATACTTCTTACTATCCTTTACGCCAATAGTGATAGAAACATTAGTGTGGGCGTTATTCATAAATTGTAAGGTTCTGCTCAGAGATATGAGTTAAAAAATGGTTATTTTGAAAACCCTAAAAGGAAAAAATTCCTTAGATGATTTTTGCTTAATTCATATATACTTTCTTTTTTCAACTAAATCCTTCCATCGTAATTTTAATTATTTCATTTGATAAATTCAGAAATAATTGTAAATAGGTGCGGAATGAGGCGTATTCTATCGCATATTTGTTCATTATTCAATGGTAAATAATAAAAAATGTATTTATTCTGTTTATTTAAACAATAATGGCATATATATATATAATATGGTATTATGCACCAATTTCAGTTTTTTTCTTAATTTTGAAGTTTTTTTGTATATTACATTACTTTATATTCCTATTTAATATAATATAATTTTAACTGAATTAAATAATCAAAAAAAAATTGTTGAGGCACATTTACAAACAATTTTTATTTTTTAAACATGTTTTATAAAATAAATTTTCTTTTTTTAGTTGTCGCGTGTGAAAATATTTTTGCCGCGACGATTTTTATTAATCCAGTAAACCTTTTATTTATACCTTTATATTTTTTAATAATGATTAATTTTAATATTTTATTAAATTTTACCTACCTATTTATATATTAATTTATAATTCTTTTTAAAGCTTATATGTACAAAGATAACATGTTATTATAACATGATGTTAAAAGAACTGGAAATATATTTCTATATTGATTAAAAATTACATTTTATTATTATAAACTTATAGCTTTTATTGTATTTTTATCTGTTAATGGCAACTTTTTATGATAGTCTTAATATATATATATTTTCTATTTAGGATGAAGTAATAATTAAAAATGATTCAATTTCTCGATTGGGATATGTAAGTTCTAACTTTTATTAAATTCAATTTCGTTTAATTACCTAAATTAAGCTTCTTTTAAATTAAACTTAAGATTAATAATATTATAATACTCAGTGGTTGTATTGCAGAGTAATGATGCTCAGTTAAAAATGGCTCAACACAGTACACGAAAAGTAGTAAATCTTTTTTTTACACTACCAATAATTTTTGTTTCAAATTTATAATGATTAATGATACTATGACTATACAAATATCACAACGTATAATTTCCATTACAGGTTTCTGTAAAATGTGGTATTTTAAAATTGGTATGAAATTAATTTAAGAATATAACTTGAATTTAAATTTATAATAAAATATTGTACAGGGCATAAAAACAGATATGGAGTGGAGTACAGTCTTAAACAGTTCCCCAATACTTTGAATATTTTTATTTCATAAAGTATATACCACCACATTTTATCTGTTGTAAATTTTACCAAATATTGAATGCGATTAGGTTGGGGGCGGTGTCGTATAGACTTTTAAATGTCATCTAGTTTTTAGTCGGAAATCGAACGTCGTTTATGACGCTGGCGCACCCAAAGCAAAACGTCGTATCGAAAAGTGTAAAATCAAAATAAAATATCGTCTGAAATACAGTCCACATTAAAGATCAATAGATTGCGTTAATAT